TCCCAAAATAGATTGAGCATGTGTTGGCAATGTGTTACTTGCCATTTCTTTGTAATTGTGCATTTTACTAGCAACTTATAAATGAAAAATTGTTTCTATGCCATTTAGTTTTTTCAATGCTGGTGTATGAAAATTTAAATGTACCAAATTGCTTTGATGTTGCTGTTTGACTTGATTAGACTAAACGTAATTACAATCTTGGTGCTTGAATATCGCATTACTATAGTAATAGATCTCGAAAGAGCTTTGTTGTGAGAGTCTGATCGCCACTCTCCCTGAAAGTCAATAGGAGAATGTGTGTTCGGCTGAGATCAATTACATGATTCCTTTCCATTATTAATAGACTCTTCAATTGGTGCTAATCTAGTCTGACGGGGCAAAGTACAGCGACTTTCTAATATGACATTTACAGGATTGATTGTGATTGTTATGACTTAATAAACATCAGGCCAATAATAATCATAAATTGCAGTGATGCCAGTCGATGTGATATCAAAGCTGCGTTGCTCCTGATTATTCTTGCATGTATTGTGGGCTCTTGAGAAGGTAAGGCGAGATGCGGAGACGGTCTATTATATGGCGCGTCTGGTTGCTCGTCCGCTCTTGTGTTTCTGCTGTGGTGGTATGTGTCGGCATTTAAAGTGGGAATCTGATTAGATCGTCTGTGATTAAATATTTACCAGTGGCTTCTCCACTGCTCTGGAGAAAAGTGAAATCGGGAAAGTGTGTGTTTTTTTGCTTGCATGCAAAAAAAACGTCTTTCTCTGATAGTTTTAAATACTTTCACACTGCCGACATGTTTGCTGCATTAGTGCGTGCTTCTATTTGATCGCGTTAATCATTGTTCGGTACATATTATTTGGCCAAACACCGAAAGAGATTTTTTTTGCTATTTTCGGCCGAATAATTTTGGTTGCCGAACATTCGGTGCATCCCTACAAACTTCAGTTGTCGTATCAAACGGCTCCACGTTGACCTCAGTGTTACAGCGGACTGAAATTAGCCGCTTTTGTGGTCTTGGTGATATTGTGTTTCAAAGCAGCGTTTTTCATCCTGTCATCTCTGTGAATGGAGAAGGGAATCTCTACAGTCTCTCCTTGTTTTCTCAGAAACTTCAAATGTGCTCGTATGAAAACATCGGAGGCTGAGCTGTTGGTTTTAGTGTCAGGAAAATGGAGCTGGTTTTCAGCCAGGGCTTTTTCCGGCTGTCATGCATAGGAGTTCTAGCATGACTTTACTATGTTTGATGTTTAATTTATAGGGTGTCAGATATATTATCTCAAAAATTAGATTTGTATTCATTATTATTATATTAATTTATTTTTAAAATACTGTATTTTTAAAATAATGTAAAACATATAATTTTAAATCTTACATTATTTAGTGTAATAATAATAAAATTAATAATTATAATAATTATTATTATTATTATTAATGTAATTTAATCCAATTTTGTGTACAAATGCTTTCATGCATTGGATTTCTAACATACTATGTTTGATGGTTAATTTATAGTGAGTTGGATTTATTTTCTCAAATTAGTTTTTTATTAATTATTATAAAATTATTATTATTTTTTAAATATATATACAGTGGGTACGGAAAGTATTCAGACCCCCTTAAATTTTTCACTCTTTGTTATATTGCAGCCATTTGCTAAAATCATTTAAGTTAATTTTTTTTCCTCATTAATGTACACACAGCACCCCATATT